TAGAGTTAATGGTGCATATGTTGAATAATATAGGTGTCAATTGAAAGTTCGAAAAAGTAATCTTTGAGCGGCGACCAATTAATAGGTTAAAAATGACTCATAAACCAACATGTATAAAACGTTGTCTTGGGCATAGTATAAGGCCTATAAAGAACTTAACAATTACTTATAATGGCTTAAATAAGATCCATGATAATTTAGTGTTATTTTCATTTAATAATAAAAATTATTAAATGACACTACATAAGATTTGTTAAGTCAAATCACAAATGACTTAATCCTAACATGTATGATATGCGATCCTATATATGCTATATCCCACTATGTAATGATTTCAAGTTTATTTTAGCCTAAAAGTGATTAAATATTAATGGGCAAGATAAATAAATATATCCTAATTACATGCATGAAAGAGAATAAAAGTCCTCTGCTATGCACATCCATCAACAAATAAAATTATGATATATACCAAAATAAAATCTCTCTCTCTCTCTCTCTCTCTCTCTCTCTCTCTCTCTCTCTCTCTCTCTCTCAATCTCCAATCATGATTAGTATGATTCATCATCATTATCATCATCGTAATATCATGATTAATAGGGTTCATCATAGTACAAATTTGTCAAGTTTAAGAGCGACTTAGTTTTAGCATTGGAAAGTCAATAAAATTATTTTAGAAAATTAAGATAAGAAAATTTTTACGCCATTTTCTTTAGCAAAAGTTTACTCATTTAAAAGATCATAGAATGACAAGATTAAGGAAAAAAAGATGAGGAATAAATAAATAAATATCATAAAAATTTATTAAAAATCACAACATTTGTGTCCTTGGTCCAATTATTTGATTTCATGGAGGAATGATCTTTCTTTTTCATCTTTGTATGAATCTTAAGCAGATCTCCTTAAACTAAATATGCCTAATGAGAATTGATAGCCTCACTTTTAGAGCAAAGGTTGTTAACCGGAGATAATCTATTTTCAAATCAAATCCATTCAATGAGGACAATCAAATCTCATTTTTAAAGGAAGGAAAGATTCTTGTTATATATATTATTAATCTCAAACACTAATCCTTATATTTAATTCATCCAAATGAAGATAATAAAGACCATTTTAAGGTAGTGAAAATTTATCATTTGGATTATAAATCATGAACACCCTTTCTTAGTTCTAATCCCATTTATAACGCATAACCTAGCTATCCCCTAGAGATTATAATCCTTACACTCCTCTTGTCATATATAATCCTTTCAAATGAAGATAATAAAATCCAATTTTATGGCAATGAACCTTTGCTATATGGACTAAAAACTTCAAACACTTCTCTTCATATCTAATTCATACAAATGAAAATAACACCTCATTTTTAGGGAAGATCAGCGCTTTATCATCGAGATTATATGGATGCAAATTCTTAGATACTAATGAGCTCAAGCATTGAAATAAAAAACATTCAAAATTGACACAATGATCATCCAAACTCTATTTTCAATAAATATATAGTCAAAATAAGCATCTTGATGAAATTGGGAAAATAACATTATCAAGATTATGCTAACTTATTTCCAGTTAGACTTAAATAAAGTGCTCAAAAGTATCTTTAGAAACTTCATTTAAACATTTGAGAGGCCAATTTTTTTTTTTTTTTTTTTTTTTTTTGAATCTTGCATGCATGCAATCAAAATGAGTTTCTTGATATGATAAAATAAGCGAGCCCAAGATTGATCAATGTTTATATTATAAATTTATTAAGTGGCCAATAATTATTATGTAATAAATGAGGATCAACTCCAACCATGCCATGAAATGTTATAGTTTTAGTTAAAATATCCAAGATATTCCTCATAGAAGTCCAAAATAGGTTCCACTTTCACACATTCAGGAAGGCTAGAAGGAAGTATGGAAGATGTCTTAGAAAGGATTCCAAATGAGGGAATCCAAATTTTATATGCTAGGATCCAATGCATGTCATCACCAAACATGGTCAAAGATAGTAATCAATATCAATACCAACACCTTCCAATAACCATAAAGTGAATTATCTTCATTAACACTAATGATATCACTAATAATATTGATGAAACATTATTAACACTAGCACAAAAAATCCATCATTATTGGGTCGATGCTTGTCATCAATAATAAGGTCAATGCATGTTGCGAATACAAACCTTGATGCCCAATATCACTAGCAAGATTGACTCATGCTATCATCACTCAGACTAATGCCCAACATCACTTATAACATTGGCACTTTCCATAACTGCCAATGTTGATGTCAATTATTACAATTAGAGTAGATATATGCTATCATCACTTATCATTGGGATGCTTGACATTGCTAACACCCAAGTAGCAACCAAGATTTTGTAAATAATCCTAACGGATATCGTAGCCACTAAGAACAGCATTATTAACTCACTTATAAGAAAAATAACTTTATAGACATCCAATCATCTCTTAATGATAACTTTGACACCTCAAGTCTCCTCCTACTTTCACCATGAAAGTTATTTTTAATAATTCATGCATACCATAGTATATTAATATCTTATCCATTTATGAAGAACTACATTCTTTGTAATATAGTGGATCATTTCAATTAGTCAAGCCCCAAATTTTTTTCCTTTCAAGGCTTCACCTAATAAAGAACATGTTCCTTATGAATTTCTTTGAATTTATCTATCTAGAAGAGAGTAATATTTTTATTTGATGGTAAGATGATGCACTCTATCACTACAAATATTTTAACACACAACATGTACAGAACCTACAACACATGTACAACTAGGGAACTCCACCAAAATCTTTGAAACACTTCCTACAAACTAATTAATTAGAAAATAATGGGTGATGAAATCATGAAATTTTTTTTTATAAAGATGGGTTTTAAAACCCTCCTATTTATTTTTAAATGAATGTAATTTAAAACTTAATTACTCTTATACTATATTAATCTCTAATCAAATCTACATATATGAAAACTCTTCCTAATTTAATTTTGATCATAATAACAGGACGCAATTTTACTTTCCACTTAATAAATCAAAAAAAGAAGCCAAATCAAAGAAGCCTTTAATTCAATCTTCAAGCTTTCTTTTAAAATTATTACAAGCAAACTCGGGGAAAGGCACTTTGCCAAGGTTTTGGTCTCACTTTCCATTGGCTCCTTGGATCTAACAGATATTTTCGTGGATCTTCTCATGGATTTACCTTGCTCTCCTGCTATGGAGGTTAACCCTCTTAATCGATATGATCCTAATTTCCTATGGGGTAAACCCTATTCAAAATCATTCAAGGATGGTTTGTCCAGGTTTTGATTCACATATTAATGATGCTTATGTTAATTGTGAGCTTTTTAAATCCTTTGTCTAGCATAAGCCTATTCAGAATCAATTTAAATTAAACATTGATGGCTCTATCTCCAATAATGGTGCTTGTTGTGGGGGCATAATATGTGACTATCACGGTAATTTTGTGAAAGCATTCTCCTCTAAATTTCTAACTATATGTCATTATTAAGGCTGAAATGGAAGCTCTTTTGCAAGGTATCAAGATATGTTTGGATAATCATATTAGTAATGTTTGGATTGTATCTAATTCCAAGCTTTTAGTGAAAAAAATCTGATTTCTTCCAACCAATGTTATAAAGCCTCTCTTTTTAACTTATTTTGAAATATCATGAACTATTTGCGACATTGTGTTTATAAAATCTCTCACGTTTTGAGGGAAGGGAGTAGTGTTGCTGATTGTCTTGCTAAGAAAGGCACTACACTTACTGATTTTATCATATTTCATAGCTATTTTGATTAGCTTCCTCTAGTTAAGGGTATGTTGAGGCTTGATAGAATGGGGCCTCCTTTCATTAGAAAGGTTGGCTAATTGCTTATTTTTTTTAGTTTTAGCCTATTGGCGCCATCAGGTTGTTGTTTTTATTTTCTTGTTGGTTTATTCATTTTAGGTTTGGTTCTTGGTTGTGTCTACTCGGAGTCTATTATTGGTTGTTGTGTCCTTCTGGTGTATACTAGGTGTCTTTATTATTTTATGTTCCTTGTTGTATTCTTGGTGGTTCTTCATTGGTTTTGTTGTTGTTCTTCGTCTACTTAGTTTGTTTTGGGAAGGTTTTGGCTCCTCTCAACTGAGGCTAGACATTTCTTTGTTGGTGTCCCTCTTGTTAGGCCTTTCCTTTGGTTGATGCGGTTGTTCGTTGATTGCAACAGCTATCTTAGATTTTCTATTATTGGTGGTAACCTTTCTTTTAGTGTTTTTTGCAGGTTCTTTACTTTTTGTGCTTGAATGTTTAGCTGCATGTTCGGCTATTATTATTCTGGGTTATCCTTGATTCTTGCCTTAGTCACATTCCTTGATGCAGTTGTTTGCTTCAGGTTCAAATGGTCCATTTTGTTGTTGGTGTTTTTGCTCCTTTTCATTTCTTAAAGTTTATTGATCTCCATTTTTTAGGTGTTAGCTTCTGGCCTCCCGTAGATTTCCTATGGATTTTTGGGCATTGTATTTAGATATGGATTTATGTCTCTTAGGATTTTATTTATGTTTTGATTGTAGCTCTTCAGCGGTAGCAGGCTATTTATACCTCTTAAGGACATGTAATAATTATTTTATATTAACATGAATGCCCGTGAGTGGGTTTTAATTAAAAAAAAAAACTTTCTTTTAAAATCATTGTTCCTTTATTTTTTGCCTTCTACAATTAAAAAAAGGTAATTAATACTTAATTTAATATAAAGCACATTTTAACAACTCACATCTTAAAAAGTTCTTGTAATAGCACGATCAAATACTTGGCTTACAATCTCATTTCCACCACTACTCCCAAACTCTCTCTCCTAATCCGAAACCATTAATAAACCAAAGAGACCGTTACCAAACTCAACCGCCATTAAGTCAAAATCATTTAATGAAGCCATAACGTTTCCATGCTCCCTCACCTTAACATCTCAAACAAATCTCAATCTCCCCCTCACAAATCTCATGGCCATAGTAGCACAGACGTGATCTCCTTCTCCACTGTTTACGCGTCCTCCTCACGTCAACTCATTTGTAAAGCCTAATAAAGCCTCACTAGTATGTACTTGCTCTTCTCTCTTCTCCTTGTAACTCTCCCAAATTCTTTCTCTCGTCTCTTCTTCTCTAAACAAACATGGATACTCTTGTATGGGACAGTAACAGTAAGCTCTACGACTCCTTTGAGGTGAGCTCAATCAAGCGTCAACTTGACTCTGCCGTCGCCGGCAGATGCCGAAGCGATCCCACTCTCATGATGATAGCAGAAGGTAGGAAGAAGAAGTCCAAGTTGTCAAGGTCTTTGCAGAAGCTGCTGAGATTGGTGTTTGGGTTCAAGCAGGGAGAGGCTGCGGTGAGTTTCGCTATCACATATTAATATATGCCATCAAAATATTTTCTTTTTTTATTTATTAAGTTATCATCCAAATATTATCAAAATTAATATTACTGAACTGCCAACTTTCAGAACTATCAACTAATATAGGCTTGTAAGTTTTTTTTTTTTTTTTTTTAAATTTTAGCCAAATAGTCTAAGCCATATAAACAAAAAATAAAACAAAGAAATTTACATTTGTAATATTTATTTTCTGTATTTATTTATATAAGATTTTAATTTCTAACCTCAAAAAGATTCAAGCCATGGAATACGAAAGAAAAATAGAGATAATTATTAGTGATATCTTTTACATATTTTAAATAAATTTAACACTGATTCTTGAAACAATCTGAAAAAAAATTAACACTAATTCCTTGTAGTGGTTGGAGAGGTATGGATATGGAGTGGATGGGAGAGAGGAGGTGCCGGAGAGCATGTACCCCGTGCGTTGGAGCGGCGGCGGGCTGGCTTCAATACCTGAAGTGTCGGAAAAAGGAATGGAGTCGCCGGACATAGATTATTCGGCGGTGAGGAGAGCCGTGTCCGAGCGGTTCACAAGCTCAACGTCCGGCGGCGCCGTGCTTCTCACTATTCCAGCTCCATGAAGACGATCACCTGGCGAGTATTATTCATAATAGTCTGCTTGATCAATCTCCTTCCTTAAGTTTGTGCATTGAATGTATCGTATAGCATATTACTTGACTTGAGATTAAGGTTATAGCTCATAAATATTTTTTCAATGTTTCTTATGAGCATAACTTTTATGTGATGTAGACGAGCTTAATGTATGGGACTGTGCTGAACTAATATTATTAGTTTTTTTATGGTTCGAAATGATTTTCTGCAGTATTTGGATGATTGGGAGAGAGAGTGCTAGGATTGTAGTGTTAGAGAACGATTTTATGGATTCAAATAATATTTTTATTTTAAGGTAACACTGATGATTTCAAATTCTGATATTCAGAGTTATGTTGAAGAACAGTTACGGCTGAAGAATGTTAGATAAAATATAAAATGGATTTTAGGCGCAAGTGATGAAATATACCAACATTAAAAATTGTAAATATAGAATTCAATTGAAAAAATAACTTGGATAATTTAATGGAGCTGGATGTTGGCTGATGTTATAACTTCCTTAAATTTGAATTATTATTTTATTATTATTATGTTGTCGATCTTTCATAGTAACAATTGATATAAGTAATAATAAGTGTAACAAGCCTCTCAGCATAGGTTCAAGATCAATAATATAGCAAGATTCAACCATGAAGCAAAGTTTGTTTATTAAGGGGTTGTTTGATTTGATTAAAAATAAGTTCAAATTATTTCAAATGCAAGTGGTTTTAAGAAATTTTATGTTTGATTTGATGAAAAAAGAATGTGGAGTAAAATTTTAATGAAATTTAAATTCACTCCATAGCACAATTCATATTTATTTATTTATTGATAAAACTCGCAAAAGGGCCTACGCGTTGATATAAATAAAGGGTTACAAGTCCTTAAGGGGACCTTGAGCCTCTAATGCTCAAAGAGCTATATTTAAAGTAAAAAAAAGAAACTTAAAAGCTTAAGATTCGCACTAAATTACAAAATAAAGCAAAAAAGAAAAAGCCACTTACTGCAAAAAGTCACCGAAAAGGAGCCACATTCAAAATCATCCAATAAGCGCAGCAACAACGGCAGAAGCGAACCATTGGGCCAGCATAGCCGAGCAACAATCAAAGACATCCCCAAAAGTAGCAAAAACAACCTCAACGACAAAAAAGAAGAAGAAGAAGAAGAAAGAATTAAACAATAAATGGATTAGAATGAGTATTAGATCAGGTGCTCTACCAACAAAATATTTTAAATTGCACAACAAACTTTTATTATTATTATTTTTTTTTCATGCATTTTTTGCCATAGCCCAAGAGTAAGCCCTCCTTATCCAACTACACAACATTTAGATCATTATCCTCCAACAAACTATTAGAGAGTTCGTCATTAGACACCTACCCCCCAGTTGTCATCTGACTGAGAATAGTTCCAATCAAAATGGCCAACCAGACCAACAGAATGCATGCAAATTTAACTGAGGCTTCCCACCAACCAAATCTTTAACCACATCTTTAGAAATAGGGGAAAGAGGTGAATTAATTATTGGCACCTTATTAAAGACATCCAAACTATCAAGAAGAGTAAGAGAAGCATTCATAGGGGCTTGAATAATAGATGTTTGATTCCCTTGAAGCTCCCCACCAATAACAACAAGATGCACATTCATAAAGTTATCACCATCCCGGTGCTCAACAGAATCCAAATTAGACGAAATAGCTAATTGATTATAAAAAACTACTAGAAACATGGACTAATGTAGATTTATAATTAAACTATAGCAATATTAATATCCTCAATAACTAATGTATTTGAAGCATGAAAAGAGCCAACAATAGCAGAGCCATAATATTCAGATTTTCAACATTTACCTAAACAGCAACATTAGAAAACCCATTACGGACTAAATTATTGGTTACATTGTCATCAACAATTAGGACATTTTTTATAAATTCAAAATTCATGCTTTTTTATCAAATTATAAATTACACAGGAATTTTGCAAGCTAACTTCGCTCTCATTGTTAGTTTCTTCTTGCTCCTTATCAGTAGCCACCACTACCATCGGTCACTCTTTATAATGGTCTATTTGCGACCACTACCAAATGCCACCTACCATCACCTGGTGCCATCATTGCCCACATGTTGTAAGCTAGCCACCTTGATCGATGAGTTTTACACTGCATTCATTTTACTTTAAACCAAGAAAAACAAAATAATTGTCTTCATTTATTTTGCATTCATCCAAATAACTCTAACCATCTCAAATATATTACTTTACTTTTATATTGTTTTCTAATTCACTTTGCATTATGGATCATTTCAACAATCAAAATAACCTCTAAGAAAAAGTAAAATGTACTAATTTCAATCATCTATTTTATTTTAAATTTCTCTTTTTTACCTAAAATATTATAAAATCGATCATTAATAATTTGCACAACCTTCAAAATTAACAACAATATCACAATTACCAACGTTAACTTCCCCATCGTCCATATTAACAACCCGACAGGTCATATTCCTCAACATGAGTGTGGCCTAAGGTCATTTATAAGCCTCCTCAAGTTGATTGGACTCAAATTCAATTGACGTCGAGCAAGGTAATAATTTTAGCCCGTTTATCAAGTCTGGTTAAAAGTAAAACTAACTGAGCCTACTTAGCAAATTCACACGAGATCAATTTGACCTAATTTCGATCATGTCAAAATTTCGATCATGTCAAAATTGACTTAGGCCGACCCATTTAGTCAAGTCCACATCAACTCAATGAAACGTACCTTTCGTAAGACACGCAACTCCTCCCACCTTTCCAGCTCGGTCGACTTGCATGGCATAGTTAACCTCACCCATCTTCTTCTTCCATCTCTCGTCATCTTACAGTCTCAATTGCGTGTGTCATTTGTGAAGCTCCTGTGCATGTGAGTATGTGACGTGCGACCTCTGCAACCTTCACGACCAAGCCTCTACTCCACTCATGCCAACGCTCATGTAAGTTGTAACTATAGCTAGCCATTGCATTGTATTTTCACCCACCACGTACTGCTTCGTTCACGTGCCTGCTCACACAAGCCAACCATTTCTCTGCGCTTCATGTTTGCATGCTTTGTGCAAGCCAGTCGCTGTAGACGAAGTAGTCTCGAGCTTACTCCATTACTTTCACTCACGCAAACTCTGTCATGCACATGAGCACATCTACCTCATTACTTCTCCTCGTATGAATTTGGTCAAGAGTGACTACAAAATCAACCCAAAGGTCATTGAGGTTTATTTCATCCCCGAATGAGGGCATGGAAAAATTTTATAAACCGAATTCGTACTCTTTTTAATTATTAGAATATTAATAAGTAGGTATGATAGCTGGAATTGCGAGAGCGACGGAATGTTTTTTTTTTTTTTTTTTTTTTTTTTTTTTTTTTTTTTTTTTTTTTTTTTTAATTAAAACCCTCAAAGAGGCCTACGTGTTAATATCAAAAAAGCGGTTACATGGTCCTTAAAAGGAGCCACTAGCTCTCTACTGCTCGAACGAGCTACAATCAAAAATGAAAGAAAAAGACCTGCGAGCCTGTGGTTCCTCATCCTAAGAGTACAATAGATGCAAAACAAACTACTAGGGCTGAAAGCATACGCCACCCAAAAAAGGAAGATCATCAAATAGACGTTCAGCACCATCTTCCTGTAAAAATGGAGAAGCAAAAAGAAAAACCAAAAAAAGAAAACAAGAACGAGTACCTTGATTTTACAGAAGATCTTGTACTTCAAAATTGAAAGAACCTTGCAAGACACACTCCCAACCATCTGAGACATCAGCATCTCACCTTTGACCTTCTCCCTGTCAGCAGTAGCCCAAAAACAATTGTCCCCAACCTGTAACACAAAATAACTCCAAAAACAGCAAATACAATTAACCAAATTCAGGTAAAATTTATAAATCTTGCTATCAACAAAAATGCTCCTATCCACCAAATAAACTAATTGAAAAACCAGACAACAAAAGCCACCACCCAGCCCAGTTAAAAAATCAAGCCCCAGAAACCAGCAAGGCGAGCAACCAACCAACCAACCAGAGGCAACCCCAGAAATCAAAACAGACACAAAACAGCCCCCGCAGCACCCAGAAAACCCATCACAGCCCAGCCTAAACACCCAACAGAGCAACTCCCACAAAAAAAACATCACTTAATCCCCTGATACTTCTTAATATAAGGCAAGCCAGAACGATCCAATCTAACCAAACCATTGACAATTCTAGGAATATCGTTACTGTTAAATTCCACGTACTCCTGTAATTGGCAACCAATAGTAGCCAAAGCATCAACACAACCGTTACCCTCACGGTGGATATGAGAAATCTTAAAAGTAATGGTAGACAAGTCCTGCTTCAACTCCCTAATCAAATAATAATTCTCAGCATTAAACAAAGAATTACTATTGATATAATGCAAAATATTCATGGAATCAACTTCAATCCAGACTTTATCATAACCCAAATTAATACACATTTTGATACCATAAATAATCCCATGAAGCTCAGCAATACAAGCAGACTTACCAAAAACGGGACCCGCAAAAGCCTTGATCACCTGCCCCAGATGATTTCTTAAATGCCCCCACACCCAGCCACCTTACCATTATAAGAACCATTAGTGTTAATCTTAATCCACTCAACATCAGGCTTAAGCCATCTAATAATGCAGAACCTATTCTCCTGCACACCGGGATTACTCATAATATTAAAAGCATGAAACACATGCCGACAACCTTTAAAATTGATATACTTGAGCATACCAGACTCATAGAGCAGCTGAATTTTATCACAAACAGAACGAATGATACGAGAGGCGTTCATCTTAATACCGTCATGTTTCGCTTCATTTCTATTCTTCCAAAGAAACCAAATGATAATACTAACCAAACAATTCCTAACATGGCCTTTATTAGTAGAAAACTAGCATTTAAAAATATCAATAATGGACTTAAAACTGTGATAAAATTTAAAATGAAACAGCTCTTCAAAATACAGCCAAACAGAAACAGCAATAGGCCCATTAGCAAACACATGGTTCACCGTTTCAATATGCTGACTGCAATGACATTTAGAAGCTAATTGAATGCCTTTTTTCATCAGATTCATATCCACAGGGATAAAATTAGAAATCACATGCCACAACAGAATAGCATAGGTGGTAGGGATCGAGTTGTGCCATATAACAAAAAAAAATGGGTTATGAGGCTTATTCT